AGAGGCCTGACGGCCGGTGCCGCCGACCCTGATCGAAAGGGCTAGGGGCGGGGGGAGGAAGCGGAGGAGGAGGAGGAGGAGGACGAGGAGGAGGAGGAGGAAGTGCATCCTTTGTGTGCCCACTCGAAGAAAGTGCGCCCCGGGAGTGTGATATTCTGACTTGGGGCAAGCTCCCGGAAGAGGAAGAAGTGCATCTCGGGCGTGCCCGCTCGAGGAAAATGCGCCCTAGGGAGGTGGTATTTTGACTCGGGGCCCGCTCCCGGGACGCCTGTGCGGGAGGAGGAGCAGGAGGAGGAGAAGGAGGAGGAGGAGGAGGAGGAGGAGGAGGAGGAGGAGGAAAAGGAGGAGAGGGAGGAGGAGGAGGAGGAGGAGGAGGACCAGGAGGAGGAGGAAGTGCATCCCGTGCGTGCCCGCTCGAGGAAAGTGCGCCCCTGCGGGCGTCGTATCTGCCCCGGGACCCCCCCCCCCCCCTCCCCCCCCCCTGCGGGGAAGGGATCAAAGGGAAGGGGCTTCCCTTCGACTCCACTACGACGTCGTTTAATTTCGCTTTGGATAGCGCGCTTGAGGAGGAGAGCCCTGGGGGGGGGACACGACGGAGACGACGGAGACGACGAGTCGAACGGAGAAGCCCCTCACACACGCCGACAGGGTCGGCGGATTTGGCAATGCGTGGGGAGAGTGGCCCGGCACGCATTGCACACACAGTTGTGCTGCCACGAAATGAGCGGCGAAGCATTACATTGTGATTCATTGGCTGACGCCGCACCGTCGACACCTTGGAGCGGCAGTAAGAGTGAAAAACGGAGTTTGCGGAACGCGCGCGATTTCTGGGGAATCTTGGGGGTTCAATATTTGGGATTTCGTCGGGGGCGGTTGGCGAATCGCGGCTCTGCTCTTGGGCTTCTCTGGGCTCTCCTGGTAGTATTTTGAGGCCTCTTGGGAGCCGTGTTGAGGCCTCGAGGGGCCTCTTCTAGGCCTCTTGGTGGCCTCGTGGGAGAATCTTGGGGGCCTCCTGGCGCCTCCTTAGGTTTTTTCGGGGCCGAGTGCTCGAACCGTCCATTCGGGTTCCCCCTCTGGGCCTCCTCTTGGGGCCGTCCTGGGGCCCTCCTGGGCCGTTTTGGAGGCTTCTGGGGCCGTCTTGGAGCTCTCTTGGGGGACCTTGGGTTTCTTGGGTCGACCACCGCCTCGACCGTGGGATGTCCCCTCGAGTCTCAAAAACGATGTTTGCTTCTGGAGGGCCTCTTGGGACGCCTCTTGGTGGCTTCTTGGGGCGTCTTGGAGACCTCTGTGGCCGTCTGGAGGCAATCTTGGGCGTCTTGGAGCGATCTTTCGGCGACTCGTAGCCCTCGTGGACCGTCCGGGGGCCCTGTTGGGGCCCTCGTGGCCCGTTTTGGGCCCCCTAAGGCTCCAAGGGTGCGGCCGGCACTTTTGCCCCCCCCCCCCACCCTCCTTCAAACCGCCCGGACAGGGCTCCCGGGGGAGGGGGTTGGGGAGGGGGACGCATCTCACACGTTGTGACCCCAATGGGTCGGCGGATTGCAATGCATTTTTGGGTGGCCTCACCTTCCAGAAAAATCAGCGGCTTTAACCCAGTCCAGGCCCTGGGAGTGTCCTAGCTCCCACACTGTCTGTAAATTTCGTTCTCTCCCGCCTCTCCTGCCATTATCATGACACCGAGCTCGCGGTTCATAAAAGCAACGTGAGCACCGGAAATATCGAATAGCCTTCAGCCTATCCCGCCACCGTGCCTGGGTTGTGGGTCATAGGCAGTCAAGATGTTTGTTGGGATGTCGCGGGGGGCCTCTCGGGGTCTCCTTCGGGGCCGTATGGAAGCCCTCATGGGAACCTTGTTGGGGCCTCTGGGGGCGTCTTGGGAGCCTCTCGAGAGTCTTTGGGGGTTGGGGGGCATCCTTGCTCCTCCTTGGGGCCTCCTGGGAGCCTCTTGGGGCGGAAGATTCGGATTTGCCATTCGTGCTCCCCCTCGTGGGAACTTCTTGGGGCCCTCTTGGGCCGTCCTGGGCGCCTCTGGGGCCGTCTCGGAGCCCTCGTGGGCCGTCTGGGGGTCCCCAGTGGGAGCCTCTTAGGCAATGTCAGCGCCGGAATTGAGGTGAGGACGCCTCCCCATCCCCTCTCAGGGGGGGAGCAGCGCTCCCAGCGGCGAAAGGTTCATTATTCTCCCCCCGCGACTGCGGCGGCTACGGAGCTGCAGCGTTTCAGTGTTTGTTGCTGGCTATGAGTCGCGTGATGTCGAGAGAGTCAGTCCGCTTCGGCGATGTTTGGCCGCTTTCTCAGTGGTCATTCTAGCCCAGACGAGGTTTTCGTTTGCACATCGTATTTCACCCTTGGACTCTCTTTCCGTACCTTCAGGCGCCTCTTTTACAGACGTTCCAGCCTTTTTGCTAAAACGTTCAAGCAGAAATACAACAAACAAAGAAACAAACAAACAAACAAACAAACACGTGCGGCCGTCCCGTGAGCGCTCGGCCGTTCTTGTTCCACCAGGTCTTGTACCGGCGGCTGCGCGTGAAGATGACGGAATACGGAAAATCAGAGCCCCGAGTTATCAGGGCAGGGGGTGGTCACGGGCAGCTCTTGATTCGGGCTTCCGTTTTCCCGCTGGAGTTGCCCCTAATTGCACTCAGCCCGAGCTCTCCTGGGTAACATTCTGCCCCATGTAGATACTGTCCAGTTGTGAAGGCCGCGTGGCTGGTATAAGTTAAGTGCCTGGGTGGATTTCGGCGTGACTTTGGCTTGGTGGTGGCGCGGGTTCGGAGTGAGTTGGTGTGCGATGGGAAGTTTGCGTTTGCGCATCGCGGTCTTGGGCATGCATCCTTTTGAACATACATGATGGTGTTTCGATGTCGTCGCCACGCGTCCACATCCATATTCGATGCACGACTGCGCGGACGCGCCGAATTCTGTGAGCGAGGAGTGGGGCAGGCCATTTGTAGAGTTGGCCGGCTGTGTATTCGCCCATAAAGTGCAGGGCCAAAAGTATTCATTGGCCCCCGCGCGGCGCCACGCCGCCCAGTTGGGTGTCTGGGCGGACATATAGAGCGCTTTTGTGTTGCCATTGGATCATGGTGTGCACACCCGATGTACCACAGGTAGGTTGTCGTCGCTATCTGAGAGGGCATAGCTGGCAGCGCGACGCCAGAATTCAGGGCAGCAAAGGATATCCTTTCTGATTTTGGGCAAGCGGATTCGCATCCAACGAAGATCAATTTCTTTCCCCCGCCCTCAGGTGGCGACATCCGAACCTTACCCCGCCAACCATCGATTCTCCTGAATCGACGGAAGGCGGCGGTAGGGTTCGGATCTCACCACGTCTTCGACGGATTCCGAACCCCACCGCCGCCGCGAATCCAGTCGCCTCATTCGATTATCGGCGAGGGCGAGGACAGGATAAAGTGAGACGATGTTTTCAACGTGGCATTGGCCCCCGAGGAATTCAGCTAACCTCGGTCTGGCCTCGTCGCTTTAGCGCTCTGGGCCAAAATGCCTACAGTGAAGTGCGCGCACGCCCCCGCCGGAACGACGAATTCTGCAAATTTGGTCGTCGGGCTTCTTCTGTCGCCCAAGGGCTATAGGGCTATAAACCTCCACCGACCCCAACCAACCTCCATGTACTATCGCACCACGCTGAGGGTGCGGCTGCCTGGGGAAGAATTGAAACTCGTTAGCTTGTGAAGCAAGTGGCCTTCTGACAGTCTGAAAAACACGCGAGGGGTCTTTAACCCGCTCGTGCCAAGCAAACGGTCGGCCTCCCGGAATACGCGGCTAAATTTCGCATGATCCCATTCTCTATGGCAGGGAAGAATGATAATGCTTTCCTTGACGCGGGATGTGTATTGGGTAGAAGGAGAGGGATATAGGCTAAAATCGGCACCGCATGTCGCACGAATGGATTCAGAAAATATCGATATGCTAATTTTCGCGGCCTTCGCACTGCTATTCAAGGACTTGTACCGATGAATCATTGCGAAGGGCCATGCCATGTGCACATGGAGGGGACGAGCAGACGAACTAGAGAGAGGGGTAAAGATGGAAGAAGGCTTCGTGTGGCAGAACGGAGAGAGTTCTCCAGACCTTCTCCATTCAGCATCCTTCCTCAGCTCTACATCAAGCATCGCGGTTGCCTCGGTCGACCTATTTTCAAGTTTGATTTTGAAAACCTGCTCCTCCCCATCATGCGCCTCACCAAGAGTCCGTGTAAGCCATTTACAAGGTCGCCCCGAAAGATGATGAGCCCATCATTTTTGAATATGCCGTAAAACGTTACACCATGGTATCTTCTGATTCCGGGTCGAAGGACAAATGGGGCCTCGACCATGCCGTGGAAAGCGGCGTCGGCCACTTCGCCGAACATAGGAGACCCATGCACAACATCGAAGACACGTGAACCATGGCACCAGTCATTGGATTCCCCGTGCTTGCGTGAATTGGACGCAATTTGACGCCACCAGCACGCTTGTGAGTTTTGACCGTGTTCTTCAAAGTCGATACCATCGTTATGTATCCATTGCGGGCCCAACTCAAGACCGAATGGCAATATGAAAAGTTGTTCAGCATGTTACCCACATCCATCACGCTTCCTTTGAAGCTGTCGAATAAATTCCTTTGGGGTGTCGCTCGTGCAATCTACCTCCCGGTGGTTAGGACCTCCCAAAATTTTGAGACGTGCCTCCAGGAGATGGATGTAGCCACCAAGCAATATCCCCCATCTGTGTCTGTGGGGAGAACACAAGCCGTGCCCAACCCCACCGCCGCCGCGAATCCAGTCGCCTCATTCGTTCACCGGCGAGGGCGAGGACAGGATTGGGATGTCCCCCCTAGCCCCTGGCATCGCTCGGACGTGTGCATTTTTCCTTCGGCGAGGACCATCGAGGAGCATCCTGGACCAACTGGCGAAACAAACACCCACGAAACCGAAAAAAACACAGAGAATGGACGTCGATGGCTCCCCTAGCCCTGGCGTTGTGTAGAGGAGGCCCGCGCAGGCAGACCAGCGCCCCGACGACGGTCGCGCCGCCCCTCCCGGCGCCGCTCCGTCGGCAGCAGACCGAGCCGTCCCCCGGAGGCCGCTCTCCGCTGGCGGCCATGCGCAAGGACCTCTCGAGGGCCCCCAAGCGGTGTGGTGACCACACCGCTTGGGGAGTCGGTGGGGATTCGGGGTCAGAGTGACGAACGAACAACGCACACACCCATACCCATTGGGGTGTCGGAGAAGACTTTGGGTGCATGTTGTCGGATGGGGGTCCCCGCTCGAACGGGAGCGTCCCCCAGGGTCCGACAACCCGCACCCATACCCATAGCCAGTCCTCCTCCCAGGGAGCCCCCTATGGGTGTGTGTGTGTTGTTCGTTCGTCAACCACGCGGTTTTGGGACTCGAATCGTTCTCTGAGGATCTCTAGGGCGACCAGGGCCTCCAGAGTCCTAAGGCCGTGTGGTGACGGACCACGCGGTGGGGTCTTTGGGGGGGATCTGGAGTCACCACGCAGTCCGTCACCAGGTATCTCGCCGTCGTTCCGCGGATGGCACGTGTGCACCGTGTCGCGTTGGTGCCTGTCGAGGCGTCGCCGACCCTCTGCCCAGGGCCCAGGAATGGTACGGCGCATATATTTGATCTGCTTTCGGAGCCGGTAATGCTATGCACTGTACCGCGCTGGAGCGGGGCCTGAAGGGAGTCCAGACGGGGTGCGGCGCATGGGCACCGTGGTCGTAGTCGCCGCTTCGGGGAAAAAGAAATTCCATAAACATTAATTTTCAGAGGTCCGCGCGGAGTTCTCGGACCGGCGCTGGAGCCCCCTGGCGGCGCCTCCGGCGCCGTGCCTGGCGTGCTCCGCGCGCCGGGAGGGGTTTCAAGAAAACCGCGCCGCGCGGACCTCCAAAAGTTGATGTTATGTCATGTTGTCTTCCTCCACCGCCGCCGCCGCCACCGTCGTCGTGGGCGCACGCTGGCGGAGTGCTTGCGGGCGCGCGGCGGGACGATTTTTCCGCGGCCGCGGTGGACATGAGGCCCCAAGGTTGCCGCAGTCCAGCCCCCCGCCTCCCCGTTCCTCGGGTCTCCAGCGGTGACTCGTAGAGCTTCCCCATAAGCGAAGCGGCTAAGCTCTAGAGTAATGCATCGTAGAGCTCTCGGTTCGACCGCCCCTGGCGCGCTACGCACACCAGGCAGGGGGGCAGTGCCGATCCAAGAGATCCGCGCGCACCTCCAAAAGTTAATGTTTCCGTCATGCCGTCTTTCGGCAGCCGACACCGCCGCCGTCAACGCCGCCGCCGCCGGTGTCGTCGTCACAATAAGCTCGGCCAGGAGGAGTAGCCCTGAGGTCCTCCGTCACAGATCGATCCGGCTCGGGGAATGCCGCAGAATGATGGGGTCCAAGGCTCTGCTCGTGTTTTGTTCGCGATGGTGTATTTTGCAGCTGCAGCGTCGGATCTCAGGGAGGAGGAGGAGGAGGAGGAGGAGGAGAAGCAGGTGGAGGAGGAGGAGGAGGACGGGGAGCAGGACGATGGGGAGGTGAACGAGGGACGGGAAGGAGGGGGACGGGAAGGAGAGGGATGAGGAGGAGGCGGAGGGAGACGGGAAGGAGGGGGACGGGAAGTGGAGATCGCTTTGATGTTCTAGGAGTCTGAGCCCCGATGTTCAGACGGAGGCTCTATGTCACACGTCTCTGAACTCACACGAGCACACGATAAGATACATTGTCCATGCTAGACTTCTGATATATAACTTCGCTCTGGTACTAGTGCCCCGGATCTAGATACCACACTATTGATTTGTTGGGTGAAAGCTCTGGAAGCTAATTTGCCGAATCAATCCACCTCAAACCTTGCTATCTGAATTTACTTATTCAGATCAAGGGTCGGGCGAGGACGGAGGCGAGGCGGAGAGGCGATCAAGCCTCGAGGTCGAGGAGGTCCTGCTCCGAGTAGCTGTCCTTCGTCTCCAAGATCCGCCGCATGGTGATCTGCTTTCCGTTGGACGGTGAGATGTGCCATATTGCCGGTAGTAAGACGCTTCATCGGTAGTTTGAACATGCCCGTCTTGGTGAGGCCGTCCACGATGACCTCCTCCGTGAGTAGATGAATAAAGTTCCTGACTCGTCCGGTTAAGCGATCTTTTCTCATGCTCAATATGGCCAGTCTGCCTGATGTGTCTGAAGGTACTCCTTTGACCCCGCAACATTTTTGCCATGAGTCCATGCAGTCCGTGCAGTGGTCGATCTTGACCTGATACAATGATCTGTCGAAGATATCCATCATGTCCTTGGCCTTTTGATGGCTCTCTCCACATGATGATCTCGCTCAATCTCGGGGCTATGAACTGGGCCGTCTAGTTTATCTTGTAGCCCGCATTCGTCTCCACGTTGCACGTGGAATGTGAGATTCGCTTCCACTTTCCTGGTGGTATCACTGATGAATGTGTCATGCTACCTAGGATACCACTGTCATCAACATGTACCTTGTCCTTCTTGTCGACTCTGACCTTGCCCATGTGATCCTCCATGGGGAAGACTGTTGCCCCTTCTGATTGGTATGAGGTCTTGGTATTTCCATGCTCGGCGTCGCACAGCCTCACAGGACATGCTATTGGGACAACGTGTAAGCCTGCCATCGTCATGTTTCTCTTGGCCCGGTCGACAGAGAGGTTCGCCTGCTTGAGATGGTTGTTGGTGTTCTTACGGGCCACTTATTGTCGTTGGACCGTGTCGCACACGTATGTGTATACGTGTGTATATATATATATTCTCATACGCACCTCTCCGAGGGAGTAGAGCTCAGAGGGGATTAATGCGTCCGTGCGTGCGTCCGTCTTTGATTTTTCTGGCCGTTTCGCTATGGACATCCTCGAAATTCGGAAAATCGGTGGCACCCCTCACGCAGATCGTGAAGGAGAGGTCCAAAAACACATAGGAATTCAACCATTTTAACATAAAACCTTCAAAAACACATGGTAATTTCAATAATTGTGACCCCGATTCTCAGAGAATGGCGGTTTCGCCTGAGACATCCTCCCAAAATCGAGCCCCAGACCCCTCCTCGGAGCCTCCTGGGGGCCTCCTGGAACCTCTTGGGGCCTCCTGGGGCTTTCTGGACCTTCTGGTACCCCAGACCCCGCCTCGGAGCCTCCTGGAGTTCTCCTGGGCCTGCTGAGGCCGCCTGGGGCCTTCTGGGGCCTCCTGGGGCTTCAGAACTACATGCACACACAGATACACAAATCACGCCCAACACATCACACGCTAGACAAACATAACATACACACACACAACACCGACAACACACAAAAAGCACGCACCACACAAAGCACACATCACACACACACACACCACTCACAATCCTGGGGCCTCCTGGAGCCTCTTCTGGTATCCAAGTCGGGCCTCCTGAGGCTTCCTGGGGGGCCCTGGTACACACATCGCAAGGTGTGGCAACCCCACTTGCGCTCGAGTGCGACTTCGCTGTTGCATGTCACTCCTGCTTCAAACGCCCCTTCAGCTTGTTGTATGAGCCTGGGCACACACGTGCCACTTGTGTATATATATATATATATATATATGTATTCCTCTTCCTATCTTTTTGCAAGCCCGGGCTGGAGGGAAACCCGTCCCCCCCCAAAAAAAAAACGGATTCCTGGGATCTGGGGCTTTGGGACCCTTCGGACGGGCCTCGAAGCGGCCCCCTGGGCCTCGCAGGGCGTTTTGCCAAGCTTTCGCAGCACACCTAGGGCGATCAGGGGGGTCATCGGAGACGCCCCAGAGAACCCCAAGACAGCACAAGAGCGCTCCAAGAAGCCTTCATACCCCGAAAGATCGCTCCAAAACGTACCAAGAGGCCTCCAAGAGCACCCCCACGAAGGCCCCAAGAGGGAATAATCATAGATTTAATGTAGGTTTTTGGTGAATTGCGGGTTCTCCTCTTTTCGGCTTCCCGACGCTCCAAGACAGCAGTCTTCCGGGCGTCCGAAGTCGCCTGGGAGGCTCCACAATCGCCCCGCAACCATCCGAAAGGGCTTCCAGGCAGTCCAAGAGAGCCCCAGAACGGCACAATCCGCGCAAGAAACCACCGCAACCGGAAGTTATGGATGTTTCTTTAAAGTGATTTTTTGTTGATTGTTCTGTTGTCGCGGTTATTGTTGGCACGTGCTTCGATTTCACATGTATCGCGTTCTCGTGGGGTTGCTTCATTGCCACTTGCAGAGCGTCTCCCGCAGACCTTCCCTTCGACGTGCTGGCGCGAGACCGAGTGGCGTGCCTGCGCGGCGCGGCCTGTTTAAGACGACGCGCGTGCGCGCAGTTCAGAGGAGTTTGCATTCGTAGCCGCCTGATTGTTGCGGCACCGCGCCATATTTTTTTGCGCGGCGCGTAACGCTTTTTTCGGATGCCATTTGCGCGTGTTTTGCATGGGCGGATCGCCTTGGCGCAGCGATGCTTCGCGCGGCGTGGTTCGGCCGCTTTTGCGCGATGATGCGCCCGTGTGCGTGTGTGTTGTCAGAGCGGCTCTGCGTGACGGCGTGTCCAGTAGCGATTACCATGCCGTTAAGTTTGTTCCTCGTGGGCACGCGGGCCCCCCGCCCCTTTTCCCTTCTTCGCGGCACGCCAAATTGTTGGAGTGTCTATAAGTTTGTTTCGTTGGGCGCTTGCGCATGTGATTTTTTGTGAGCATTGTTCATTTGTTGTCCACCTTTCGCGCGACCTCTTCTGGTTGCTTTCCCCCTCGTCCACTCGCATTATGTTTTGATGGTGTTTTATTGCGCACGTTTCAAAGTGGAGGGCCCGGTCCGCTCGTGGAGGGCGCGACAATGTTGACAAATCATACGCGTCGCGCGGTTGTGGTAGAAACCACGGCGCGTGCGTCATGCCGATCTGTTCGCGGCAAGTCCCGCGCACCGCGACCGCGCAGCACTCGGCGTGGCGAGTCTTCGAGCACCGCCACGAAAGCCATAACGCGCGACATGTCGTCGCCCATAGCCTTGCAAGGGCCGCAACATGTGACGCGCTCTTCCGCGCCGCTTCGGGGCGCACTCCTTCGTCTACGTCGTCGCCCTCCCCCTTCCCACGTCCCCCATGTTGTCACCCTCCCTTCTTCCATTTCGTTCTCCTTGTCTCATTATTGCGTCTCCTGGGGTTCTCACGTGGC